CAGAAATCACTTACAACAAACTGCAAGTCCCACTAACTAGAATATTCAGCACCACTGAAGGTTTTAAAGTAATCTGTAAAGATGACTTTGATTCAGATAAAATCCTTTCAAAAGAAGCAAGAGATATATTTTACAATGAAGGCCTTATTGTTGTCATGCCACCAGAACAAAAAGCAAAAAGATCAGTTTTTGTTCGTCAAGTCGATCAAGAGATCGGGAGGAAGACCTGAAAGAAGAACTGAACGCCAAAATAGGTGGATGAAGATTGAAGAAGTCATTAAGATAAAGGACTATACTCATGTTTGAAGAAGTGTCAATGGCTGAGAAAGTTTTACAACAGGGCTTTCTAATATTCAACATGTCAGTCACACCACATCAAATAAAGAAGGAGACATTCATCAGTCTGCAAACTTGCTTCTCCTGCTACAAATATGAAGAACACACAACGAGAGACTGTCCGGAAAAAGAAAAAAAGTACTGCTCAGATTGTGCAGGCGACGACCATACCTACACTGAATGCAAGAATACACATGTTGGCTGTCTCAACTGTAAGAGAAACGGGAATGTATACATAGGACATAGGACGTTAGCAATGGCATGCCCACAAAAAAAACACATGATAAAGTACAAGAAACAAGGAAAGGAACAAGACAAGAAGGATATATTACACACAAAAGAGAGCGGGGTCCAAGAAAATATAGACCAAGGAATCCACAGTATTAAACCTAAAGTGGAGCCAATACATGATATGTACGGATTAGTATGATCCATGCACATTTGCACAATATCATTGCACCCGGATCATACAATGAGGAATTAAGGAAAATGTTTAAATTGAATAACCTACCAGAGATGATATTTCCAGAGAATCCACAATCCGAAAAACTATTTCAGACAACATATGCAAGCGAACTGAGAGAAAGACTACATCAAGACGAACAAAGGTTTGAGCAAGGAGCAACAGCTGATACACAAGGAACACAAGCGACTGATAGAGATCCCAGACAAATGACTAGAAGTGACAAAGAGAAGATAGAAATAACAAAAGGACAGACAAAGGAGTAGGAGGAGAGAAGATAAGATGGAAACTGATCACAATATACAACCTGAATCTGCTGAAGAAATTGGATTAAAAGTTATCACTACAACAAAACATGGAATCCCAACATCAAGACCAACAGGAGGGACAATAGTAAAAAACTGTGAAGGAGGGATATACAAGTGGACATATCAAGAAAAATCCCTAAGTGAAGATTATGTCTGGTCACTAATTACTACGGACAAACTAAAGATTACGGCCAAAGACTTTAAAATAGTAGACCCGTCAGAGTATAGAAGAGTCAGAAGCGGGAAACAGGATGATAGGTCTCCACTCCAACTGACTGCCACAATCCAAGTATAAGAAATAATGGACAATAGACAAACAGTAAGAACTTTAAGAATAATACAACACAACGTAAGAAACTGGAAGACCGAGAGAATTAACCTAAGTAATATATATCGCGAAATTGACCCTGACATTATACTAATAAACAGTCACGGTGAGACAGAAAACAACAACATAAAACTCTTTAACTATTATGTAAACCAAAGAAATAAATCGGGCGAGAAAAATGACGGAGTAGCGATAGCGGTTAAAAGAAACTTAAAATTTAAACTAATTGATGACTTCCAGGATGAATTTCTAGCAATAAAAATAAATACAACTCAAGGAGACGTAATTATTGCTACTACTTACCTATAGAAGACCTATTAAAATTGGCTAACAATAGTCATCCGATGTACATCTTAGGAGACTTTAACGCCAGACATAGGATTTTTGACAATACAAATAATAACGTCGTGGGAAACGCCCTTAATCAATTAATAAATTTAGGGAAAATCAATCATCTGGGTCCTAACTTTCCAACCTGGAGAAATCACAATACACAATCGACACCAGACAAAAATTTTACCAACAACAAAGCCTTTTTCAATTACCATATAATACAGGGACCTCTTACAGGCAGTGACCATCTGCCAATTATACTAACACTGTCAACAAGCCCCATACAGATACCAATAAAAAAGAGACTGAAAATGAGTAAAACAGACTGAGACAGCTTCAAAGACGACTTAGGTAATCACCACTCGATTAACCTACAAGGGAAAACAACCAGAAGATATAGACTCAGAAATGGACAGACTGCACTCAGCAATAAAAACATCTATAACCAAACACACTCCTACTTCACACTTTAGAACATTACCCAACAACAGACTACCAGAAGAAGTTAAATTAATCCAGACCTATTACAATGAAATAAACAGGTATATGGAAAGACACGGCAGTAACAGATGGCTATTGTTACGAGTTGGGGATTTAGAATATAGTTATACGTCTACCCAGATCCCAACAGGTAACAACAATAAAAACAAAGACAATCGGACTATAAAAGGGTAGACAAAGGATGCGAGTTTTGTTGTATAATAGAGTACCATAAATCCTTAACAAAATATT